TAGGACTTGGGAATGTCTATAAAGGACATAACAGCAAAAAAGGAGCTATGGCTAGAAAGGTAACCATAGCGGTCAAGTGGGTGAGAAATGCAAGAAGATCGACATAAAGAAATAGATGAAGCCAAGGTAACAAGAGGAGAAGAGGGACTAACAATAGTAATGGGTGGAGAAGGATGATCAATGACTGGTGCTGGAGGTGGAGGAAGCATGGACGTTGAGTGAACTAGATGTTTCTTGGAATAGACTTATAGCTGTTGAGGACTAAGAGGAGGAGCATGAGCATCACCTATAGAACCAAAATGATGCAGAATAGAAAAGGATGATGGTGCAGCAATTTAATAATGTGCTCAAAGAAGGAAAGGTTCTCAAGAAAAATGACATTACGGGATATGCGCAGCCAACAGACCTTGGGATCATATAACAAAGGAATCCCTTGTGTTCCATACTATATGCCATGAATGCACACATAGCTGATTGARCAGTTAGCTTTGTGTGTTCATGAGGGGGGGAAATGGACAAAGCAGACACAAAGCACGGACAGGTTAGGTGGAGGATGAAATAAAGACTAAAAGGGAGAGGAGTTTTCTAAAAGGAAGGATATTAATAAGGTATATAGTAGTGTTGGTCGCCTCCACCAGAATGTAATGGGAACATGAGAGTCTTATAACAGTGATCTCACCATACTAGCAATATGATGGTTCTTGCACTCAGATACCCCATTTTGTTGAGGTGTACCTAAATAAATCTCTGGGACTGAATACCATGTTGCTTGAGATAAGTTTGGAACTCACCATCCTCACCACCAAAGTACTTTCCCCCTAAATCAGACCTCAAGATGCTTATAGTACTTTTAAATTGGGTCATAACAATGGCACGAAAATTCTTAAATGTGAGAAAAACTTCTAATTTCTTGAGAAGAAAATAAACTCAAGTATATCTAGTGCAATCATCAATAAATGATGCATAATATCTATAACCCAAGCGTAAGATAACAGGAGAGAACCAAACATCACTGTGAATGACATAAAAAAGGTGTAGAAGCATGTTCAGAAGAAGATGGAAAAGGCAAAACATGACTTTTACTATAACAACAGGTCAAGCAAGATTTATCAACATTTATAAATGAAGAAACAGTCATAGGCAAATAACCAGAAGAAAAGCCGAAAACACATATGAAAGGGGGAAGAACACAAGTAAGCAAACTAACCAGCCAGACCAATACAAAAAAAAAAAAAGAAAAGTAGAGGAAATAGTCAAAGACATAATCTGATGAATCTTATCTTCAGACAAGGTGCCTTGTGAGTCAATTTTGAGAGCTAATGAGGCGGAAGAAGTATCATCCGATTCAGCTGAAACCTAATAAACCTTATGTTGCCCTTTCTTGAGGGGCCTAGTAGGGCATTCCACAATAATATGTCCTTGTTGTCTATAGTAAGTGCAAAAATCTTTCTTCTTGCAGTGAGATGCTACATGCCCAAATTCCTTGCACTCATAGCACTACATCTTCAAAAGAATCCTTCTTCCCTTTTTGTTTGGTAGCCAAAAATACAGCATCTATTCCATGTTCTTTCTTCTAATCAAGAGAGGACCGAGTAAGATGTAGAGTTTCCTCTCTTAATAACTCTCCAAGGATCATATCTAGATCAAGTACAGGCTCTCTACTAAGTATGTTTAACTGCACTGTCTCACAATCAGGCCTGAGGTGCATTAGAAAGTGCATAACTTTCTTCTTATCAAAGTGTTTCTTCATAGATTTTACATAACAATCTAAAGATAGATCTCCAAGGTGAACCAACTCATATTGAATCCAGAGGTTCACAAAACCAGCATAGTACTCCTAAATTCATTTCTCTCCTTGAGCATACGCAAAAATATCTACCTCAATCTGACATTGCATAGACATGTTTGATTGTTGATACACCTTTTCAAGATGCTCAAACCATAGTTATCAAGGCGACCATGGGGCTGAAAATTTGGAAAAGGGAGGACTGAGGAGATGATGATGATGATGAGTGGAGAAAGGGAGGACTAATTTACATGGGTTTTGACCATATTGTTTTCTCCCTACAAAGTTGCAAGAGTGAGACAAGGGTATACAGTTGGTTAAAATATATTGCCAATCTCAGTAATTTCAATTGGTAGTAAGGTATTAGAGCCAAAAAATAAACATCAAGAGTGAAAGGAAGTTTTCCTAATTGCAAATCAACAATGACAGTTGATTACAGTTGGTTATTTGTTTTTATCCAACATTACTACATCTAATATCACTCGTTCTCATTCCAAAGGAATAAACAAAGGCAGTTATTTTGGGGAGAGGTGGGATGAAAATCTGATATTGTTATATTGTGTACAGTCTCAGCTACCAATCCCTAGGGATGCCTGGTTGCATCATTGCAAATTCTAAGTATATTTCCTTAATAAGATTTTGTCATTCATCAGAAAAAAAATATATATATATACCATTCTTTCCATGCAAATGACTGTAAATCAGTCTATTAACAATATAAAAATAACCACAGTTGAATGACCCAAAACAACATAGAAAACGTTCAATTCTCCCTGTGCATTTTCCTATTAGATTTGTGGTTTATGTATTTATTTGAAACAATGAGCTGTCTTTTCTACTAAACAAAGACAAAACATCAGTATATCATAGATTCCTGCATTAATATACTCCAGTAATACAATTGCTTACTCAAATTGATTATGTCAAAACTTGAGCCTCTCAAAAATCAGAATTTAACTAGGTTAATAAATCACAAGTAACACAATATATCTAAGACACTAGCAGGCAACCAAGCTGCCTTAGCAACCTTTGCAATCCAACTACAGACACAGAGGGGCCCATGAAAAGCATTTTTAATAGATAACAATAAATTCAATAAAAACCAGTGCACTCAAAAAAAATAATAATATGTGGAAAAAAGTACAAAGCTTGCTCCAAGGTTTGGAGCACCAATTACCAGCCAACAAATATATACTATATATAAAAGTGTGATTGCAATATGAAACGTTTTTGGACTAAAATTACCCTTTGTTTGAGAAATGGTATAAAAGTCATTTCATTACAGTTTTAACGCCAGATTTAATGGCTACTAAAATGCCCATAATTTTGTATTTAGTCCATTTCTAATGGTAAGATTGAAAATGTAACTTCAATTATTACTTTCCACCCCATTTAATCCTCTCTCATTAAGGCTTATAGTTTAATTATTAACTCCCATTTTTCTCTTATTAAATTAGACCTGTGTCAATTTTTTTAACAATATAAACCCATATATTTTAAAACTAACTCAAAAACAAAACCATTTTTAATCCAAGTGGTGGCTAAGCAATTCAACCATCAGAATCAAATTGATCAACCTACAAAATCATAGTTAGGATAGAAATAAATATAGAAATTTACAAAAAATGTAGAAAAAATTAGACACATGTATGATATTTTTATTAATCAAATTAAAAAAATAAGTGTAATAAACAATAATTATTTTTATTGGTATTAAAAATGAAATACATAATTTAGAGCTGACCAAAAATGAAATTATTTTACTGTTAGGCAAAGACCAATAATTCAAATTTTGGGTCAAACATGTTCACCTTTAATGTCATAAATAAATAATAAAGTTAATAAAATATAAAAATACAAAAATGAAAAAAATACATAAATTTTGCAAAAAAATTTAGGCACATGTATAATATCATATATTTATCATATTAAACAAAAAGTAAGTGTGACATATTAGAATTATTTTTCACATAAAAAGTACAAAAAAGTTATAGAAAAAATTGAAACCATCAATAATTCTACATTTACACTACTATTAAAAATATGAATAAGATTGTGGGACTTTCTTTTGACTAAAATACTCAATTTTGAATTTAGTCCCTATTCAATTATGAGGTTTAAATTGTAAATTGAACTACTACTTTTCACCCCATTCAATTCCCTCTATTTAAATCTTACATTTTTTGATAAATGAACAAAAAAATGATACACCAAAAAATATTAAATATTACAAAAAGAAGAATCTAGCCAAGCAAGTACGCCTATCAATGATACTTTAAATGTTGCAATTCTATCTGATTATCACATATTTGGGTGAGGTGTTTATGTAATTAGATTTGGATTTTCAATCCACATCCGATTAATAATAAAAAACAAAAAATAAAAAATACATAAAGTTCATAGAAAATATTGGATACATTATTACTATCATTATCATCATCTAGAAACCACGTGCACACTTACTAGTACAATAAAAAGCAAACAACAGCACAGCCAAGCAAAAACAAACTCATGTAAAATTATTACAGATTGAAACCCAGCCCTGGACATCCCCAATCTAACTGGTTTCTTCCCAACCCTGCTCTTGCAAGTGAGTCTGCTACAACATTTGCACACCTAGGCACCCAATTGAATGAGCAATTCAAATTGGTAGCCATAGCTTGTACCTGTCTCACCATTGGTTTAAACACCCATGAAAAGCATTTTGTTCTAGTATATCTTTTCATGAGCCTTGTTATATCTCCAACATGTTGCAGAGGGAGATGAGCTATCATTCCATACAAATTTTCATTACAAAAACAGCACAAAAGATGACTATTTCCAATTTGTTTGAGATAATTTGCTCTATAATATCAGGTACATACCCAATATGAATACATGTGGCTGGTTTCTTCACTAGTTAACAATTCCACACTTTATAGCACATTCACCATTGGTGTATCTTGAAAATCAGAAAATTTAGTTAATCACAGCTTAATTTTTAGGAGACTAATCTTGACATTATTAAACATGAAGAACAACAGTCAAGAATCTACATTATATAAGAATATAAATATCTTATTTAAGGATTTTGAGGATCTAAAATCTTGAGAAACTCTCAGGGTTCTGAATGAATTGCTTGTGTATAAAGAAATATTGGATTAAGGGATAATTCAAATATATATATATATATATATATATATATATATTACTAAAGATGACTAAGAGAGCATACTTCTCCAGCAGCTACAGTAATGACATGAGGAGTGAAACCTTGTCCTGCTTGCCCTGCATCAAATAGCTAAACTATGAACATTACATATAATTAAGGCACACACTTAAATTCAAATAAATCTTATAGAATCTCAAAGTTTTAACAATATCATGATAGCACAATACTAAAATGAAACCCTTGCCATATAACAAATTGCAAAACAAAATCAATGTAAAAGAGGAGGATGGAAACTAAAATATTGAGGTATCTTATCCTCAACCCACCAGCAACTTTAATAGGTTCTACAAAGCACTACATAACAACAACTTTGTTAACCAGAACATATATTGCCACCTGCTATCAACAACCTGAACAAGAGCTATTTAATTATCTCAGTTCACCTAAGCATTTCTTTCTTGTATAGGGTTCTCAGAAGATCATGTTTATGCACTTTTGTCCCTTTTTCATCTGACCAGTATTTGTGGCTTTGATTTGCAAAACAATGTATAGCAGAACTATTAATTCATGATTTCTGTAATATAAGTATATGGACATATAACAGAACCACAGATAACCAGGATATAATAGCTCCAAAAGAACAAAGCTGATAATACAGAACCAAAACTATTTCTCAGCAGCAGGTTATGCTTCTACATCACATGCACAAATGCTCAGAGGGACCAAAAACAATGACCTAAGAAAAATGACACCACACCAACCATAGAAATCTAAATAATATTGTGAGATATTCAAAATAAATTGCAAACATAAAAACATTATACGGATATTACCAAACAACATATATTTCATCATTTTTTGGATAACCATGCCAGTATACTTTTCCAACATATACAATAGAACCTCCCGCTACAATTCAAAAAAGAAGTGTTCACAGATAATAAACTGCTTGTTCTACCTTTCCTAATACAGCACTCCACATTTTTTTGTTTTGAAAATTTCTGTTGTTCCTCTCTCTCCAGAGGCTCCAATAGATGTCAAAGGGAATCAGATTAGAATGCTACCTCTTTCCATAACCCTTCACTGGCGATAAATCTATCAAAATAGCCATAAGCCTAGGACTATCCGCAATCTTCTGAATAAGTTAACAAAATGGTCACATTCCATTTCTGAATAGGGGGGGGTAACAAATAAACAGGCGGTCCAGAAAGGATTCAAACGATATATACACATTTCTTAAAAGCCTGTCCCCTTGAGATGAGGTGCACAATTGTTAAGATTTTGTTTACATATGCTATCCACATGAAAAAGCAAGCTTTAGTTGAAATGTGGGGTGACCAAATCCATCTCCAAGGATACCTATTCCTAGCAAACAGAAAAGTCTAACAAGATTTCACTAATAGACCATTTAGATCAAAGCCCAATACTCTTTTCCATCCCTTGAAATATCTACCTTTTATTGTTGAATTCTTTCAAGTAGGGAATATTAATTCACCTTCCTCCTAATCATTCACAATACTTCTATCCCCAAGGAACCAAAACCACTTCATTTGCAACAATTTCATAACATTCTCATATTGAAGCTTCCTCCTCATTACAAGCTACATGATATCAGTGAGAAAAGGAAAAGGGTAGCCAAACATTGCAAGATATGCTGCTTTCTCAAAGGAAACGTTTTCCTGATTTTCCCAAGTGCCCAAATTTTTTTCTATTATACAGATGCTTCTTGGTGATTTCCATGTTCCATTGGGAAGATAGTATCAACCTAGAAGCTCGATGTAGTGAGAAAGAAAAAGAACAGCATCTTGGAGCATCATTCCCTTGGAAGTCATCTGAGCCATTTGGATGGTAAGAAATGCCAAAGTCATTCATCACTGCTCAAATCTGAGGAGGTGATTCTAAGAATGTCAGTAGCAAAGGTTCATTATTGTTTCAGTTCATAAGACTTTCAGTAAAGTTGTGCATTTCTCCTACTTTTATTGTGTTAGTCTTTTATTATTTCAAAGGTAACAAATTTTTTTAATTCTCAGAACTTAAACTTCCCTCTACAAATCCTTGTACAAGCAGATTTTTAATGCTCAGGACTTAAACTTCCCTCATGCAGAAATCTGGTTACCTCATGTCCCTTCAAAAGCTGCCTTCCTACTATCATTTGATACACTAGACAAATGTCTTACCAGGGACAAACTGCTGAGGAGAGGTGAACCCCTGCAGTCTGAAATTCATGTACTATGTGGAGGTGAAATGGAAACAGAAAGCCATCTGTTTCTGCACTGCAAAGTGGTGGGAGAAATATACTCCTACTATTGCAAAATCTTTGATCTCGGCTGGTGCTACTCAGGTAACCTGGAAAACCACTTAAAGGAAGATAGTTGTGGAGTACCATTCCAGTAGCTATATTGTGGGGTCTCTGGAAAGAAAGAAATCAAAGGATATTTGAGTCAAAGTCTCAATCAGTAGAAAAAATGATGAGGAAGTTGTTGGGATCTGTTCATTCAAGGTTGGCATCCAGAGAAGCATTTTGTAATACACCTCATTATAGTTTTTCTTTTTTTTTTTTTTTTGGGCCTGTCACTATGCTTTTGTATAGTGACTCACTTTACATGGCAATACCTATACATGATTTAAATTAAAGAATACAATACTTTAGCTTTTTCTCAAAAAAAAATACAAGAAATGAGTTCTGTTTAAGTTCTTGAAATTCTAATTCAATTTCATGATATAGCTTCTCACTATTCATAGGTTTTAATTTTCCTTTTATATTATTTGTACAATTTACTTTTACAAAGATAGAGCAACAATAATCAGGATGTTAGAACTTGTGTAAAATGCATACCATGGAAAGAAAAAACATGCACTGGATGCCTAAAGGAATGTGACCCCCAGCATATTATGCAACATCAACCCATCCATTTCCAACTCAAAAAAATTCCATATCAGATGGATCAAGGATAAAGTTAACATGAGCAAGATATGTAGAGATATAAAATAGGCAATCTATGAATAACAATAACTATAAGAATAAAACATAAAAGCATGATTAGATAATGATATGTATTCAATTTCCAACTCACTAAGTAAAACAGTGGTACATATTTCCAAAGACAAATCACATAGAAACTGGCCAGAGGAAAAAAAAAAAAAAAAAACGTCTATCCCCAACGCTAATGACATGTCATCATTGCACTCAAGGATTTAAGTTTCACTTCAGAAAAGGGGAAAAATCTACCTATGCTTCCATGAAATCTTGAGTACAGGTCAAACTTTCAAGGAAAAAAAACAAACACCTAGAATTTAAAATAATAATAATAATTCTCTTTCTTCCTATTATGTCCCATTCTTCCAATTTCTTCTCCAATTCAATCTCATCTTTCCTATTTCTTGCATTTTTCTGTATTAACTGATTAATCTTCCATTTCATTACTAAAATTGTAAGAGTTTTATATAATATACATCTCATTCCAATTAACCTCAAAATTGGAAAAACAAAAAAAAAAATTGAATCTTACTTCTCTTACTTCCTATTATGTCCAATTTCTTCTCCAATTCAATCTCATCTTTCCTATTTCTTGTATTTTTCTGTATTAAGTTATTAACTGATTAATCTTCCATTTCATTACTAAAATTGTAAGAGTTTTATATAATATATATAATATACATCTCATTCCAATTACCCTCAACATTGGAAAAACAAAAAAAAAATATTGAATCTTACCACAAAATTTCAATCCCTAATTGGTTGCCATTGCGGTTTTATAGTTTAATATTTCTTCTACAAAATTTAAAAAGACAAAAAGTAAATAAAGAAATACCAACACTGACAACCAAAACCTCCATCACTAAAAATAAGAGGAAATAGAGCGCCTTCCACATTGACAAACAGAACTTTATAACAGCAAGCCTTCATGAAATCAAGAACGGCTTTAGAAGGATCTAAGTTCAAAAATTTGACCTCTTGTTTAATTAACTGAACGAAGATGTATGAAAAAACTATGCAGATTTCTACCCAACTATCCTCTAACCAAACAGCAGAAATGTGTAATTCCCATAGTGTTATTTCCAACTGCATGCAATTATGCATGTAAACTCGAGCTCATATCAATCACCCATTCCAAAAGATGAAGAAATAACCATAGAAATGAATGCATGATTAACAAAGGTGAGCAATGGAAAACACTGAAACCTATAACGTATACAGAACTGACACCATGCATCTTTACTCGATACATGCAAGCAAAAGAAGCAATCGAGATTAGAAGTAATTCTACGAAATTAGGCAAAAAACATGGAAAAGGAAGAGAAGGGTTTCTGCAACTCACCAAGCGCAACCAACTGGGCTTTCTTAGAAGACGAAGAAGACGAGCCCGATGACTGCTCCTTCTTGCGAGGCGGAGAAGACAGAGGAAGCGAAGAAGGTGAAGTGACCTTCTTTGCAGAAGACACCGAGGATGAAGCCGTGGCATTCACTGGTGCGTCGGCTGTACCATACTTCCTGGGCCTACCCCGTTTCCGGCGCACTGTCTCCTGTGGCGCCGAAGCAGCGACGGGGGCTCTTCCAGTCACCGAATGCGGGGGGAAAACGAGGGGAGTCCCACCTTCCGACGACGAGTAGTGACCGGAAGATGCGTTGAGGTGGTGGGGGTTGGAAAATATCCCATTAGTGGCGGCTGAAGTGGTGGTGCTTGTGGTCGTGGTGGTGACGCTGAGGTGGGTAGGGTGGTGCTGCTGCTGCTGCTGCTGATGGTGGTGGTAGTAAGAGCTCAGGCCGCTTTCGTTCCCCTCCATGAGAGAGAGAGAGAGATGGGATTTGGGTACTCGATTCAATTTGGGCTTTTTCTTTTCTTTTTTGTTTTGTACTTTTTGGGGATTGGAGAGAATAAAATACCATTGGTCACATGTGCACAGAACCATCTATCCGGATCGTCCTCCCACGTCGGGCCCACCTTATGGATCAAGTGATTAGATTGTTAAACTAACGGTTAAGATCACGTCATCACGATAGTTAGTAGTTATTAACATCAACAGCGGACCACTGGACCAGCACCGGTGGCTGATTAGGGCAATTCCAAATTTTGATAAATGGGTCACATTCCTCCTGAAAAGACAAAAACACCCCTACCAATACCAAAGCACAGTGGTTTATACTTTTATGGTGTGCCTTGCCTTTCCCTTTCAAAAGCGTATACAACTCGGGATGTGCCCCCTTTATAAACGAGATGTGTTCTTATCACAACTTATAATTGATAAAATATTATTTAATTATCGAGATAATTTTCGGGAAATCTCGCCGCATATGTGTGGGGCCCACTAAAAGACTGGTCCCACCTTATCTGTACAGCTTGTCTGTAGCGCGAAGAAGCGCAGGAGTTTCATGAACTCGTGTTGTTTGCTTAGGATTTCGCTGATCACGTGCCACCTTCGGAACATGTGAAATTAATAGTATTTTTACTTATTTTGGGTTGAGCATTCTTTTGCCGTACTCGCTACGGAGAGTTTATATGTAATCTGTTTATTCATTCAATAACGATAATAAAATAATATTTTAGTACTCAGTACGGGAAAGGGTTGTGGTGGAGTGACCAATGAATGGACAAAAGCAGGCTGCCTCCCTGGGTTATCACCGTTGGATTGGAACTTTTGGTATGTATTCGTTAATAGTTTCCACGTAGAAAAGGATATGCATGGAAAAGTTCAGTTTTAAATTCCTCAAGCTGGGAAAAGAAGAAACTGGAATACCGCATCTACGCCTCACACCGACATGCACTTCGTATCGTGCATTGGGAACATTTTATGGGAGATGTTCTCAATGCACGGTGGGATGTCTCTGTAAAGTCGTTGTGAGGCATCCGGAGAGTGAATCTCAATTCAGAAAAGAAATGGATAAAGAGGAATGGATTGATGAGGATGGCCTAGTCAAGACTCAAGAATGACTGTGTTTGCACTGACTGAAGTCGTTCTGTATATTCTTGCATTGGAAATCTCTATAAAATAAAGCATAGAAGTATGAAGATGTTCTCAATGCAGAAATGGGATTCAGCCAGTTCAAAGTCCTTCAAACAATCATGATAGTCTTGCATTGGAATATCTCCCCATGAAATAAAACATAGAAGTAGGGAGACTTTTCCAATCCAAGGCTGTAAAGACTGTTCGAACAGTATTTGAATGGGCCTTGAGTGACTGAAGCCGATCTCCTCAATGCAAGGCTGTTCAAATGGTGTTTGAACGAGTTTGCACTGACTGAAGCTGATCTTGTTTCTTTGTAACAAGCATTAACAACTCTGAACAGCAATTAGGAATTAAAAAAAAAAAAAAGGGTCTGAACAGCATTGGCCTTTGTGCTGTTTTCTTTCTTCAGTACTTCATAAACGAGACCGGATATGCTCCTCACACTTGGCACCTCACATGCAAATCCTATCATGCATTGGGAACATCTCCCGTACCTATTGATTATTATTCATGGGAGATGTTCCCAATGCATGGTGGATGTGCCTATGAGGCACCTATTTGTGAGGAGCAGATCCCGTCACTTTGTAAATCAGTTAACCAAAAAGTATTGCTTTAGAATTGGAGACCGAATCTGCTTCTCATAAAAGGCGTCTCACACGCACATTCTACCATGCATTGGGAACATCTCTCATACTTGTAAGTTATTTTTCACGGGAGATGTTCCCAATGCATGTGAGGAGCAGATCCCGTTCCTTAGAAATGTTGAAAATTTATCTGGACTGACTTGCCACGTGGAACATCACAAGAATATTTAACTGAATCCCTGACTGCTCCTTCTTCATCTGCACAAAGCAGAAGCTTTTGTGCAGCGTTTGGCTTGGTTCCTTCCTCGGTAGATAAGAAGCTTCTAAGTCTGTATCTGTAGCAGTAAGAATCCTGTTCGGAAGAGAAACTGTTCCACCTTCACCTTACATGGCATGACTGATGAGGATTTTTGTTTCAGAAGCAGGAATTCTGGGATTAGAATCTTCCATCTGAGGGATTGATAATCAGTAGATCTTGGAATCACTGTAAAGATTCTGATCCAATAACTCCAAAATCATCTCTTGTTAATATACAGTCTATGAATGAATGCACAATTGGGTTGACTAATCAATGGGCTTGGGACCCACCAGATAAGAATTGATGAGGTAGGTTTGATGTGATGGATTTGACACTCCAATTCATAGATAATTTTTCGTCTTGGGTTCTTTCATTCCTTATTGGCCACACGGGTTCCCTTATCTATCAAGCAAATTCTTTTTATAGGTAGGGCTTACAATAGTAATAATGTACCATACATTTAAAAATACTACAAGCTTTTGCACTTGTTGTATTTGTAAGACAAAATTATTTATAATTTATGAATAGTTTATGAATGGTTATAAAGTTTATGAAATGAGACTAAATACATTTAAAAATGAAAAGAAATAAAGGAAATGAAACTCTCTAGCTAAGTGTATTTAACCTCTAATTAAGCCACAGAACTGAATGATTAAAATGGCTTCCTCAAAGTACAACAACAGCCTTTTTCTTGGGAAACAAATGGAGCAGGATGGGCTATTAGAGGCTCATAGTGATCAGCTCGAGCACCGCACCAACATGAACAAGAAAAGATATTAAAGAAAAAGAAAAACTTTATACTGTGTTTGATTTGAAGGAAAAAGTAGGGAAAGGATATAAAAGGTAGGGAAACCTTTACAAACCTTGTATGAGTTTCCTTACCATTCCCTTCTTTTCCATACCTTTTCCTTCAAACCAAACATATCCTTAAGGATAATTGTGGATTTTATCTACAAGTTATTTGGTATAAGTGATAAAGTAAACCATCATATGACAGAACATGAATTATAAAACAATGAAAAACAATAATTTGTCAATTTTAACTTGTGTTTCTGTTGGAATGTTGGACTGGATTATCTGCTCATATATAACATCACTTACGGCCCCGTTCACTTTTGGTAAGTTACTTACCCGGGTAAATGGAATTACCTGGGTAAGTTTTTCTTGGGAAACACTTACCCAGGTAAGTGCATTTACCCATGTTCTTTTATTTCTTAGGTAAAATAAGGTAATGACCATTTTATCCATAGAAATTCATTATTAAAAGGGGCATTTTTGTTGCATTCAAGTGTTGACAACTTTTTCTCTATGTGGGAAAGTTATTTACCCACCTAAAAAATGGATATCACTTTCTTGGGTAAGTGATACTCAAGAAAATAAACTTTTCCTGGTCCCCACATAAAGCTGAAAAAAGAACATGGGATTCTTGGTCAATGGGAACCAAAATCCCATTGACCAACTTTCCCCCCTCTCCAAATCCAAAAAAATAACACCCCTAAGTGATAAAAATCATAAGCACAAGGGCCTTAGTCTTCCATCCAAAAAATATAGTAAATTTGTTGCAATGGAAGTCATAGAAAGAAGATAAATGACTATTTACTTGTCCCTTTCATGAAAAGAAAAAATTGAAGTTCACAAATTTGACTTCTAGGATGGTGACGAAGGAACAAGACACAATTTTCTTCATCGACCATTCCATCTGACCCATGAGCTTTGATGCTGCTCAATCCGATGTGGTGCACAAACTGAGGAGAGCAACCAAATAGTCCTTGCCAACAGGGAAATGCCGAGGTGGAAGGACGGAACGCCACTTCAAGACTTGTGATAAAAAAAGATGTCAGAGGCCCGAGGAGTTATCCCTGGGTAGGTACTCTAACGCTCAAATCAATAGGAGGTGGTGGATGGTTGGGTCGAGCAATAAGGGTGATGGTCCAAGTGAAATAACAGTATGGGTGTCAGAAGTTGAAATCCTTTACCTTGAGTGGGGAATGTCTCTTTGTAGCCAAAGATCCGTGTCCTTGTCGAATTGGGCTTCCGGGGTTATTGGGATGAGGTTAATCGCCAAGGTCTTCGGGGTAGAGTCCAATTCCTTGACAGAGTTGTCTTCCTCTCTTCTCTTATCCGTAGTTGTGTTTATCTGCGTGACGTGTAGCTTAAGTGATTGAGAGGATAAGATGGGGGGTCACAGTAGTAGCATAGGTCGGTCGAGCTATGCCGACATGGCCGGGCTGGCCAGGCGACGATTGGGCGGCCATGTGTCTCTCAGAACTAGCTCAGCCATGACCCGAACAAGCTTGAACCTATGAAGAAGGTAAATGTTAAAAAGAGAGTTAAAATGAATCAATGCTAATAGCAATAGGTGGTATTTGTGAAGAAAAATTTTTGCCAAATATTTAACGCAAAAGAGAAGAGACAGTTCATGGTAATTGATTCCATAATAACAATCATCATGTTTTGTTAATGGAGAAAAAAATCAGGCTGCCCATATTCTAGCTTACTTAGGTTGTGAAGCTAGAGTAACTGCTCACTTTTACTCTACCTGAAACTCTCATGTAATCTTTAATTATCAATAGTATGAAGTTGTCTCATTATTTAAAAAAATCTAAATGAAGCAAATTAAATTTTAAATACTGCTCCCCATCTTTATCTTTATTGAAATACATAAATTAATAGATATGGCTATCATGATAAAGAACCTTGAAATGACGAAACTTCAAATACCATTCCAGGGTAATGTTCTTATCCCTTAAGGTACTGTATTTCTTTGTCTATTTGGACAATCAAAAATATAAAAACAAGAATCTCCAAGAGTGTGTATCAACTAGTATATTCAGAAGTGGTCTATCTCTTCTAAAATGATTTTTTTCTTAAATCAATAGGCTAGGCATGACCATTTAGTAAAGCCTATAGTATATGCCAAATGGTGTAAAAAGAAGACTTAGTGGTCCTACACAAATTATATACACAGTGGACCTCTTTCATATCTTAAACATTTTTACTTTCCCATA